TTCTATATTCTATATTCTATATTCTATATTCTATATTCTATATTCTATATTCTATATTTTATATTCTATATTCTATATCTTGAAGCGTACTTACATTACTTTGCATAAAGTCCACTCCAGTAGCCACCGTGGTGTCCTTTTCGTATGCAACCAACGCCTCGTTCATGGTGCGCACCAGCATTTCCTTAACCTGCGACTGCATGACGAATGCGGCAATCGCTGCCGCTACCTCCAGTATGAAGACGAGGAAGAGACAAACGCCGTACTGTCGAATAGAGTATGTGATATACATGTATATAGTATTGGGCACAAATAATCTGGGATGCATTTCAATTAGTTCTATACCAAATTGATGACCAAAACGCTCTCCTTGACCGCTCCATAGGCGCCGAGTGTGGCCACGGCGATAAGTATGAAACCGATGGCAATTAGCAGCGCGGGCGGCGACGAGAAATGTCCATCGATAAAGAGATCAAAATCGCCGAAAATTGTCTGAATGGTTGTGCCAACCATGATCAGCAATATAGCTGTCAGCTGCGAACGGAAAGATTAATTCAAATATACGTATTAAGAATAGGTAAAAATTTCAGTTAACAAATGCAGTTAGCAATTGCATGTCAAAAAGCGTTTGTATGTCGCGTAGGTTATATATGTATGTATATAAAAAAAATATATGATTCATAAGTATATATGATTCACTCATATAAAAAGAATTTTCATAAATATGTATTTGAATTTTATTTAAAATTATGCAGACTACAACTAAATTCCAAATTTGTTATTTACAATATTATATAAATCATAAATTATCAATCTCGAATTTAATTATTGATCATAATTTAACTTTAATTTGAACTAATTTTTTAATAATTTTATTATTTGCACAATTTAATAAAAGAAAAAAAATATTGTTTTATTATTGAATAAATAAATTAATAATTTAAATTATTGTGATTTAGTGTTCAGATTTATTATACAACAAAATTCTTAATCTTAAATTTTTGTTGTATTTTTTTTTATAGATTACTTTCATTGTTAATTTTAATATTTTAGATTAAATAAGTACATACGAAATTTAAAAGAATTTCTAAATGCTTTATTTTGCTATCAGTTAAAAAGGGAAATAAGTAAGTGCTTTTCATTTAGTAAATACTCTAATACATGGAGTGATGTATAGGTGTAGGTTTTTTAAATAAATAAATAAAAAAAAAAAAAACAGTTAAGAGAAAAATGTAGATAAGAAGTTAAATACACGCTGAGTAACGTACTTTTTCAGATTCTGTCTCTCTCCACCCTTGAGTTCGAACAAAAAGAGTGCTGAGAAATTCTCTTCAAAGTTAATTAATTAGGCGTAATAAGCAATATTTAACGCTGTCTGGCAGCTGTTTTTTTATTGTTTGCCTCAGATAACTATGAGAAGAAACAATAAAGTCTAATCAAAAACCTTGGACTATATAGGTTGTATGCTCGCAAGAGCTACGCTCTTCCCGAGTCTTATATTGATTGTATTACCTGGAGTGAGCATAAAATATTCAGATTGCATAGGAGCGGAAGTTCATGAGAAAACGTAAAAAGAACATACATAATATTTCCAAATATAGATTCGATTCATTTTAAAAGTTAAGCATACGCGTCATCATATTATCTTTATTGTAAAATAAATAGAGGCGCTTCTCTTCTCTGCGCTTCTCAAACGGCAAGTTTTACACACGTATATGACACCCACACAAATACCACAACAAAAATTGCTCAACTCAACTGATAACGCGCGAAAAATCGCGTTATCATTAAATGTTTGATATAAATATATATATATATATAAATATATACATACATATATATGCATATACATTCGAATTCAAAATGGCGTCGCGCAGATTTAATATATATTTGTTTTTGAATTTAAAAAAAACTTACCGCAAACATAAAGCTCACTATGATGAGCATATATTTGGCGCAGCGCATTCCGGAATTTAATTCCAACTCTCGATTCGCCATTTTGTTGAATTCAAGTCGATCTACTTCTGTTTTTGTTTTTCTAAAGTTAGCTGCAAGATGTTAATTATAAGAAAAGCATTCAATTATTTCAATACATATTTTTTTTTTCTATTATTATTTTTGTTTCTCTGTATGTTCTCCGCACCCACAAAACGTACTTTTACTTTAGCTGGCTACACGTTGACTGAGCCTCAGAACGGGCCAAGAGGTGCTCGGCTCTTGGCCAAGTAGCTATACATATGTACATACTCTCACTCTCTCTGTCTCTCTCTGTCTCTCTACCTGTTTTCGCTCTCTTGGTCTCTTATCAGCCAATAAATGTTCATTGTTTTTACTTAATGTACTAGATAAAAGCGTGCGATAAGATTACGCCTTCGATTCATTACGTTTTGCAATAATATATGAAATTAGTTCAACTCGTAAGGTATTCGATTTTTTTCATTTCGTATAGACCTCAATATATTAGAGTCCTTTTGCATTTCCTTCCACTGACAAAAAACTTAAAGCTAAGTTGACTCAAGTGCAAGGTCATTCATTGTTGGGTTTTTGTGGACTGGAGCATGTGTTATCGATTCGACTATATGTCCAAGTTCTTAATGAGTCAACTGCTGGCCTTATCGATTTTTAAATAACACTGCCAGCACACTGCTAGCCCTTTCAATTATTCATTGGCTGTAGTCATGCATGCGAACTGGACATTTTATATTCTACAGTTGGCCATCAATTAGATTAAGTACGTGGGCAAATATATTTATTTTATAATTTTCTTTTTATCAATAAGCTAGAGTTGTAATTTTTCATTTTAACCCAGATTCATGTTGCATACTTTTTGGCTAGAAATTTATACAATATTTTCGTGTATTATTGTTTACTGTCGCATATTGTCGAAGAGCAGATTGAAAAGACTGTTAAGGCGCCGAAACCTACTCGCACGAGGTCTATTACCTGCCAGACCATTACGAAGACTCAAACGGCAAGGCTTTGCCAAAACTATTGGACAATAGTAAAACCGCCACAATTTAAAATCCCAATAGCTCGGTATGGGGCTCGGCTCAATTATTAATTTACCTTCCCTGTGTTGTTATGGTGCTATTTTTGTTGTAGCGGTTCTACACTTAATGAAATATTTTTAAAATATATTTTAATATTAATTTAAGACAATTTATTAAGACTTAATATTCGTACAAGGCTCACAAGGGGTTTTTGTAACTCTTATTATTATAATATATATTTATATATATTTGTAAAGATTTTTTTTTGTCTCCATTATATCTAAGTCTTCCATGCGGCTGGGAAATTTTAATTAAAAGAGCTTATAGAATCCTATAAAACATTCTTGTTTTATGTGCCCAACTCTTGTATTGTATTGCCTAGAATTTACAGTTGATTCATTTACAGAATTAGGAACTCTGCATAATCTCTTTCCACTTCCAGAGATTATAATGTCAATATTTCGTAGTTCCTATTAAATATAGTCGTATTTCTTGTACTTCTATGTGTATCGATTAGATTTGTCTTTCAATCATTTATCTCCAATCAGTATAAATCACTTGTTCAATTTCCCTCTCTCTGCATCGGTCAATCTATCAATTATCGTCAATCAGTATCAATCAATCTCAGCCATTCAGTCAATCAATCATCCATAGTCAAAAGTAAATCATTCGTTCTGCCATACAGACTGTCCGCTAATCAAGTCTGTCAATCAGACATATATGGATAGATTAGCTCTACTCACATTTATCACGTATATATATATGTATACCTACTATATACCTTAGACTTTATGCAACGCAAATGGAACGATTGCGTTACTTTTACCAGAACAAAGCAGATTAGATTTGTGTTTCGGTACTGGGGTATTGGGGCCTCCATAAAGTCCATGGCCAATATAAAAGCTAAATATGTATTTATTCATAAAAATACCTAAAAGTTTACAAAATATATTGTGTATTAAAGCGCGACAAAGCTAGAACAAATTGTGAATTTATATTGTACTTGTGAATAATTTAAGATTTGACTTGAGATCCCATCAAAATATTGGAATCAATCAACTAATCCACTGGTCTAGATGAAGCCTGTGATGCCATTCCGTATTTTAATCTCTCGTGCTATATAGCAGGCGAAGATGACGCCAAAGAACTGAAAAAAGAGAAGAGTTCAATACCAAGAATATACATATATGTACGTTGTAAAGATATGTACATATTAAGTACAGTGAACTCACCTGTATGATGGCTATGACAACGCCAGCTGCACCCAAACTGACTGCATGATTGGCTATATAATCGGAAAATCCTTTCAAGCAGCCCAGATGGGTGTTCATATCTTCATTGTAGGTGCTCTGCAGGCAGCTAAAGGTGCCAATGGTGCCATATTGTATTTTGCAGCACGACAATGGCAATTGGTTGTCCTTGAGATGATCGCTCCAGTCGGTGGCATTGTTAATGCCACAGCAGTCGAAGTTGCGCTGGACAACGTCCCACAGCTTTGTTACATCATTTACTGGCATATTCGAGTAGCTACTCATTGATTGATTTAGCTTGGCGTCAATCAAATTGTATGCATCATTGCGCAGCACATAGCCACTGATGCCCGCCGCCAGTTCCAAAATGAAGATGATGAACAGCATTATCGAGAAGCTGAGAATCAGGCAATAGTTCTCCTTCAATGCACCCCAGCAGCCAAAGAATGTGATCACAATGATGAACGCTCCGATCACGATCAAAAATGTTGGAATTGAAAAGAATTTGCCGACCAAAAAGTCCTCATAGTCATTGAAAACGGCGCCAACGCCAGCACCAACCGCTATAAGTATAATGCCAGTGATCTGCGAATAAAATTGATTATTTTGTAATTCAATGATATTTATATATTGAACAATATTATTTTAGTTAATAAAAAACAAAAATTTGAAACTAATTAATTCTAGCATAAAAAATAAACGATAGATCAAATTTTTGTTATCTTAAATATTCCTACTTTTTTTTATGTCTATTTACTTCATATGCGAACTTCATTTATAAAATTATTAAAACATTATTTTTTTTAATTAAAGAAAAAGTTCAAGTAAATTGATTTTTAAACTCATTCACGAAAGTGAAATGAGTATATTTATTTTACGCAGCCGTCCGGCTGTCCATACATATATTCGTTTATCGAATTATATTGTCCAGATTTGCATGGCAAATTGCAAAATGAAAATTTAGTACTTGAAGTGCTGGGCAGTTGCAATTTTTCTGAGATCAAAGAAATAGATTGGATATATCAAAAAAAAAAAAAATCAAAATGATATTTGAAATTTGCAACGCTCTTAATTTAATTTTATTTAATCTTATTCAATTTTTTAATTCATCAATACGAACCTATTAATATTCCAAGTGCTGACTCAGAAATATTTCTAGCAGTCCACAAGAGTATGGACAATAGATAACATATGTTTCTTATCTTAATCACTTGAACCAAAAATTTGTCAATGTCTAAGCTTATCGAATAAAATGTGAACATTATAAAAATATGAGTACATACGAGTATATATATTGGAGAGCGTAGTATTAAAATTAATAAAAAAACAATAACTAGAACAAGTTTGGCTGGCTCTATATTAGCTGTATATAATACACGCTCTAGCACTGTCTATCTAATCTGTGTATAACTGTATATAGGCTATATATATTGGTAGATAGTTGAACTGATTCGCTGTTGGACTATGAACTAATGTAAATTTGATTGTAACTAACGATGAGTCAGAGACATTTTTAACTTGTTTTGCGACTTACCAAAAAGATCAGATTAAATCCAAATAGTGTGTATTTCACAGCATTAGCGCTGCCCGTTAGTAGGGACATGTTTGCGGTTTTCTAGACACTCTGAAAGCAAGAGATATATATACAGTGGTATTGGAAGCAAAAAATAATGCCCATTATCTCTACCCACAATAATTGAACAAACAACAAATATGCACAACCGTCTAGTAGTAAAGACAAAACGTTAATAAATGGCGCTCAACAAGAAACCGAAGTCAGTTTTTGTTTCTTTCCATTTTTCTAATCAGAGAGAATAAAAAAAAAGCAGAGTGTGGAATACATACAGCAAAATATATAAATAAAATTGCGTTGTCTTATCGGTAAATGATATGGCAAACACTTTGTTTAAGCCAAATGTGGTCAGCGAGCGAATGACTTTTGTTGCTGTTATTGTTGTTGCAGTTGTTGTTGTTGTTGCTGCTGCTGCTGTTCAGACAAGATAAACCCAATTTGGGTGCGATAAGATAAGACATTTAATAACATAAGCCAAGCAAATATTTTATATATTTATTCATATATGTTATATATTTATATGCATTTATATGCATTGCAGTTATTCGACATAGTTTATCCCATGTTAAATATGCGCAAGAAGGAACAGAATTCATGGGAAAAAAGAAAAAATAAACATACATATATAAATAAATTAATATCAAATAATGTTTAGGATTGACGAAATATTAAGATATATTAATATGTTGTCATGAATTTATTTTCATTAATTTTTATTTCTTTATTTATTTTTTTTTCATATCTGTTTATTGTTTATTGAAATTGTTATTATTTATTTGTTGTGGCTTGCTTGCTCATATTTATTTTGCAACTTCTGTTCAATGTTTCACATTTGTTTGTAAACACAAACAAATCGACTTTGTGTGAGTGCCTACAGGTGCTAAATTAAATATATGTATATTTCTGTGCCTATTATATTTACTTAATATACAAAATTTTATTCTTCTCATTTTTTTGAATAGTATAGAAATTTTCAGTATTTAATTGTAATAATAATAATATAAAAATTAAATTAGTATAAAATGACAAAAAGTTTGTTAAAAATTAATTAAAAAATAATTAATTAAAAATTACTAATAAAAAAAAAATTGTTAAATTGAAAATAATAAATTAAATCAATGCAATAATGAAAATTTTGAAATATTACTTATTTAAATAAGTGTTTATTATTTTAACTAATTTTTCTTATATGTTTGCAAAAATTCAAGGTCAAAAATGAAAGTCAAAACACAAATTGGTTGTAAATCGTCAATATATATATATATATATATATAAATAATATTATATAGATTTATTTAAAAGCGTATAAGCTTTTAATACTCAAATATACACCGTACAAAGTCAGTATCTTTATACATTAATCTGATCATAAAAGCTTTCGCTGTGGAAGTTGGCTTAACGAAATTTTCAAGAGCAATGAACACCTGAGCACAATTTCACTTCAAGTTCATAAATAAGTTTTGTGCTAATATACAGACAATATAGGCTTGTATAACGATTTCACAACATTAATAGTTAACTGATTAGGCCCATATGAGTCATGCCGGCTGAATTAATGAATCATCAAATGATTGGAGTATATAGATTTACATCCACATACATATATATCAAAAGTTACGTTCCAGAAATCTTTTTAGATGTTGCTTCAATAGGTTATGCATAATATTTGTAGTTTATTTCGCTGTGAGCAGTGCTCGGCATATAGTATATTTACTCACTTCTCTGTCAGCCGGCAAACAGCTCGTTACGAGTAACTGGCGTAGGTAACAACGTTTCGAATAGAACTGAGCGGCCCCTTCAGCCTTCACATACTAAAAATCACATTGACGTGTGCCGTTTCAGCACCCAGACATATCTACTGCCAATGTATATACAATTTATATACATACACACATGTATATATATATATATTTTCGTACAGACGTATCTGTTTACCTACATATGTAGATGGTCGCAGTGGCGAAAAGATAAAAATCGTTTCCACGAATGGTCGACGACGTACTTGGTGAAATTATAACTGTAGCATTAAAAGGGTTGCGAAAGCGTTGGCCAGACTGTGAGATATCCTGTAATTTATATTTAATATATGCCAGCGAATATTTAGTTTAAATAATAGGAATAACGGTCTGGACTATAATAAATTTACATATTGAGAATTTAAAATTTTGTTTTATATATTTATATAGATATATATGTGTATATAATATATATAAATATAAACTATATAAATATTCAAATATTGCTGCAAAGCATGTGTGGAAAATTTTAGCATACTGTGAATTATATACTTGATATACTGTGCGTATGCGTAATATTTACTTTAGAAATATAAAAAATACATAATGTGTAAAAATGCAGCTAAAAATACTATATATATATATATATATATATTTTTTTTTTATACGTACATATTTGTATTTTTAAATAAACAAAAAAAAATTGCAGCTGTTCTCTATATTTATTTTAAATAAAATTATACTTTACCTTATTCACACTCACGAAACAAGCCACAATAATAACCACAGTATTCATTCAGAAAATATTTATTTTTATTTTAAAAAATAATATATCGAAATGTAGCATAAAAAGACTTTACAAAAAACACAAGCTAAATTTTACATATATTTTTGTTGTTCGTGTGCGAAATAATTTGCGTTTAAAAATTATTGCATAAATGAAATAAATTGTTGCGCAGGCAAATTACAAAACTTAAAAACTATTAAAGAATATATATGAGTATCATTTGTTATTATAATATTTATATGAATTGATTTTGGATATCTTTCAATGTAATATAGTGGGTTAGTTTAGTTAGTGGGTAAAGGCGGAGCCGGAGACAGGCGTAGGCTCTGGCATAGTTTAATACTTGAATTTTGGTGTCTATGCCGAAATGTGTTTTTTTTTTTTTTACAGTATTGGAAAGATATAAAGATAAGAAACATATATGCATGTATGTGTATGAATGCGAAAGGAACTGCTTTAGAAAAATTGCACGCATCGAATATTTAAGTTAGTTAGTTAATATATTTCTAGTTCACATTTAATAGATATTTGCCAATTGCCAGTAATTTGATTGAAATTTTTGTAAACACGTGAAAAATTTCAAAAATTACCAGATTTATGCACATAAAATTGGCATCGCATTTGTATAAATCAGTTAGTTAGTCTCTTAATTATGTGTTTAGTAGGTTTCATTTCAATCTTTCGTTGCTTCGTTCATTCAGCTAGTGCTTCAAGTGATTGATAGTCGTGGTATGAGCTCTCCTAATTATTTTCTATCCTTGCCATGGCGATCCCGCTGATGCTTAGTGGCCGCAATTGTCGTTGTGGTCAGGCTATGCACATGATGCTGTGGCGGCTGTCCTCCATGGTGTTTGCTGCTACTATGCTGATGGTGATGATGATGATGATGTCCATTCAGTGTGCTTTTACCGTGTCTGCAGTAGAACAGAGAGGAAAACATGTTAGTCCAATTGTAATATCTAAGTTTTCAATTCAAGTTTAATATGCTTGCTACTGGTTTTTATACATATACATATATAACATGTCCTTTTAGAGAGACTATACCAATGTGCTACTTCCACTACGTAGTTCCAGTTTAGAAATATAGAGTAGAGCGAGCGATGTTGATGTTTATTTGTTTGCAGTTCATTTCCAATTTCATTGATGATAGTTTTTATAGTTTGTATTTGATTGTTTTTTGTTTTGTTTCTTTTTCCAGCAACATGTTCATAGTCAGTGTTTAGAATTGATACTAAAAGTGAAGTTTCAGCGTGCTACTAGGGTGTGAGCAGAGTATTAAGGTAAATATATTCCTTTAATTAACTACTGTATTTTTGGTTTTAGATTCATGCAGTTTAGTATTTGATTAGAATATATACTAAAAGTTGAAATCATTTTTATTAAGCTAATATAAAGACCGAATATTTTACTGAAGATCTACAATAAAAGAGATGTAGTTATATTTAGTTTAGCTCAGTGCAAAATATTAAAAATATTTCAAGTTCCTATATGATATATTTTGAAGTTTTCTTTTTACATTTGTATATGTATATGATTTAAACCTTTTGATCTCCAAATTTTTAAAAGTCCATTTTTATCTCTTTAAAAATATTCTATCAGAACTTCCAAACTTGTATTTTTTTTTCAATTTTTTTATTTTTTTTATTTTATTATTTTTTTTTTTATTTACCTTCAAGAATAATTTATATATATATATATATATATATATATATATATCCTCAAATATTCCTAGTAAAACTAAATATATATCTCTACGATTATATTTTTATAGAAATGAAAATATTTTTCAATCTCTTTAAGTATTATTTGTTGTTAATTTAAATTGAACTACATTTTTCTGAAATAACACCCTTATCATATCAATAAATTAAATTGAGTTAAAGCGTAAAAGAATAGAGTCTTAGTTTTGTTGTTTGTTGGTTTGAAAGGTTAGTTCAGCAGCACTACAAAAAGTATTCCCGGTTAGCTTCTAGGTTCCTAATGCATTCACAACATGCCAACCATTTGCTTAACTAGATAAATAGAAAATGTTTCATAAATTTTGAAAATTTCGCTTACGCTGTGAAAAGTAAAAACAGAACCATTTTCATTCATTGTGTGTGTTGTGTGTGCGGGGATTTTTATTTGATTTTTTATTTTTATTTATGTGCAAGGCGGCGTGTGCTCCAAAGTAAAATACATAAACCCGACGCTTCAGCCTGCACTCTCACTCCCTCTCTCTTTCTTTTTTCACTCTGTATCATTCCCTTTCACACTGTCTGTTGCCCGCTCGAGTTTTTAAGTAGTATTAGTATGGGGAAGGAACACAGGTTAGATAACTGCGAATCGTTCTTTTCGATAAATAATTTGTTTAATATAATTCGTGTTGATTGGCGTGCTGCGTTTCGTGAGGTAAATATCAAAGAATGCCCAGAAAAATATCAGAAATCTATATAAAGGTAGGAATATTGTTGGCGTGCATAGGTGGTTAAACGTGAGCGAAAAACTGTGACTGTGACTGTGACTGTGACTTTGACTGTGATTGTGTGTCAGTGTCACCGTCTGTTAACTGTGACGAGATCCGGTTCGCGCCCATCCATGCGCGACTTGCTATTTGGTTTTTGTGATCTGCTCCAGCGCTGACTATGAACATGTGCAGATGCCGAAGGGCTGGTGCGTGGAGACGCTGCTGCGCACCTGCCGCATGCGCAAACGCTTTGGCCAGCTGCCCAGACGTCCACTGGCCAGCGGACCACTGGCGTTGCCAGCAACAGCACCGCCACCACGTCCACTGCTGCCAAAGAGCTGGGCGTGATCGTTGCTCAAATTGTGCTGATAGGGCCGCAGTTTGCTGCCAGCCAACGTGGTAGGCGCTGCGTACAGCAGATAATTGTCATAGACGTGGCTAACGTTCGAGTTGCGCTTGGCCGGCAAATAGGGCAGAAAGGCAAAGCTCGAGCTGGTCGATTGGGTGCATTTCAGTGATGATTTGCGCGTTGCTGGCTGCTTGCAGCGCAATGTCGATTGATTCGAATAGCTGGCCGCCTGTGGTATCATCTCCAGCTTAATGCGATGCTCGTAGGCGGCAGTGGGCGTGGCTGTGGTACGTATGGGCACGGGCAATAGCGAACGTTTGCGTTTGCGACGCGGCGGCGGCAATGGCAATGCTTGTTCTGTAGGCTTTGTTGTTGTTGTTGCCCCATCATCGATGCTGGCATAGTCGGTATCCTCGGCGGTTTGTGTATTGGCTAAATTCGTTACGTATACGTACGTCAGTTCGTTGTGCGGTGTTGTGGTTGTTGTCGTGCTGCTGATTGGTGCCGTAGCTGTTGCTGCTGTTGTTGCTGTTGCTTGTGCTGTTGCTGTTGTTGATTTGTGCACTGTTGTGGATTTTGTTGTTGCTTTAGCTGCTGCTGCTGCTGTCGACTTTCTGTGTGCGGACATTGATGTGTCGTGATTGTGGCTGCTGCTGCTGCGACTGCTTTTGCTCGACTTGTGCGCAGCTGCGCTCGGCTCACTGTGTCTGGAGCGACTGGAGTGACCTGTGTGTGGAACGGCAACGGCATTAGATGAGTGACAATTCAATGTTCTGGCAGAGAGTTAGAATCATCTAAAATTTTTAGACTAACTGTGTGGGCGATGTAGTGGGTGTGGCCGTGTGTATATTGTGCGACTGTGTGCTACAGTATGTAATGTGTTCGAGTGACTGACTTTTGCAGCTGGGAATGAAAGACTTG